TATTTTTTATTTTATTTTTTTGAGACAGAGTCTCGCTCTGTTGCCCAGGCTAGAATGCAGTGGCATCATTATAGCTCACTGCAACCTCAAACTCCTGTGCTTAAGCGATCCTCCTGCCTCAGCCTCCCAAGTAGCTGGGACTACTGGTGTACTCCATCACTCCTGGCTAATTTTTTTATTTTTTGTAGAGACAGGGTCTTGCTATGTTGCTCAGGCTGGTCTCAAACTCCTGGCTTCAAGCGATCCTTCCACCTCAGCCTCCCAAAGTGCTGGGATTACAGGCGTGAGCCACCATACTCAGCCTAAAAAAGCTTTAAAAATATGGAAATTAGGCTAGACAAAGGAGTAGGAGGACCCAGGGACATCTGCATCTGGATGACAAAAACTGGGAATGGAGAAGAAGCTAGTTTCTGGAGGAAGATGATGACTTTCATTTTGAATGCACTGATTCTGGCTTACAGTAAATTGTGCACAGTGGTTGTCTCTTTCCCTACCACTTTCAGCCTCTGGTCAAAGTATAATCCTGAATGAATGCTCTCAGGAATGAGGGTGTTTCCCCTACAGGTCATTAATTATTAGTTCTCAAGAAGAGGTGATTCTTTAATGGGGAAACCAACATTTTTTGAACCCTTATTTTGTGCTGGGTTCTCTGCATCCAGTTTCTTGTTAATCCTCCAAGCAGCCCCTGTTAGGCAAGTACCATTATTTCTGTTTTACAAATGAGGAAGCTGAAGTTCAGAGAGGACGAGAAACTGCCTATGGTCATGCAGTTAGTAAGCGATAAACTGTCTTTCCAGCAAACCACACCATCTCCGAGAGTGTCACCAGGACACCCTATGGCCTCATGCATTAGTTTCCTGTGGCTGCTGTAACAAATTACTACAAGCTGCGGGGCTTAAAACAAAAAAAGTTACTCTCTCACAGTTCAGGAGGCTAGAAGTCCCAAATCAAGCTGTTGTCAGGCTTGGTTCCTTCAAAGGGCTCTGAAGGGAATCTGGTCCATGACCCTCTCCTAGCTTCTGGTGACTGCTGGCAGCCCTTGGCCTTCATTGGCTTGGAGGTTTATCACTCCAATCTCTGCCTCCATCTTCGCATGGCATTCACATGTCCATCCTCTCGTAAGAACAACAGTCATAATGGATTAACCCCTGCCCCAGTCCAGTGTGGCTTCATTTTAACTGATTACACGTACAATGACCTTATTTCCAACTAATGTCACATTCTGAGGTACTGGGGGTTAGGACTTCAACAAGTCTTTTCTGAGGATGCAACTCAACCATAACACCTCATTAAACTGAATAAGCCCTGGAGTTAAGAGGAACTTATTTCCTCCTATCTTAGAGGATTTTGCACAAAAAGTTGATCCTCATTTCTTGCTAGATTCCTAAATTCCCCAGACACTGCCAAGATTACTAGAATTCCTGAGTAATTCTTCTTAATGATTTCCCACAACTCCACTGCCTTCTAGACAACATCCACACGAACAATCAATCCACTGCCACTTCATGAGAAACAGAAACCCATCATCTTTCTCTCCCTCTTGAATTCCCTGTTTTTCACACTACTGGCTAACATCTCCCCCTCTTCCAGAAAGAACCCTTTCTTTCCACTCTCCTCACATCTCCCAGGTTCAGTTCCTAATGGTTGTCACTGTCATGGGAGGACACACTACCTTCTCCACTCCTTTCCTTGCTTCTGGGCTCTTCACCTATAATCCAGCCCGTATACAATATTCGGCCAATTTTCCAGAAACACACCTCAAGGCTGACCCCACAAATCAAAAATCTCAGGGGCTTCGGGATACCTGGTGGAGTTAATCAACTGCTCCACTCTGCATTCAAGGGCCAACCAAATTTGACGCCAGACTATCTCCCTCCATCCCTTCCCAATGGAATACTACTCCCAGTGCCAAAGTCCTCTCCTCCTCCCTAGCCTCCCCGATCCCTTACCTGCCCTGTGTCCCTGCAGAACTCCTGAAACACCGCGCATCTCTCGCGGTCATTCCCTTCTACCCGGTGATGTGGTTATTTGTATCGTTCTACGCTCCCTCACCAGACACCGCTCCTCGCGCCCCAGGATGGGCCTAATAGGAGCTCCTCAATCTGTGTGTCTAGAATGAACCCAAGGCTGGGCGCGGTGGCTCACGCCTGTAATCCTATAGCTCTCTGGGAGGCTGAGGCGGGCGGATTGTTTGAGCTCTGGAGTTCGAGACCAGCCTGAGCAAGAGCGAGACCCCGTCTCTCAAATAACTAACTAAATAAATAAAAAAATACATAATTAGAATAAACTCAAGGAATCTCCACGAAAGAAGGAGCTAACGAACTGGCCTAGGCGTTTCCTTCCCAGAGATTTGGCCCAGCCGCTATCAGAGTCCGGTCCGGGCGAGAACGTTTCCCTGGAACAGTGGATCGAGTCTGCGGGCCAGCCACGGGCTCAGGACCAGCACAAGGCCTCGGCCGGCGGCCCCGCAAGCCCCCAGCCAAGCCGCGACCATCCTACTGCTCAAACGGGACACACTTGAGGCCCGCCCTCCGAACGCCGCTTGGACCGGAACCTTCTCGCCGAGTCCTGGCCGGGCGTTTTTGGGCGAAGCACGCAGGAACCGGAAGTTAGTGGAAGAGGATGGGCCGTGGGAGCCTACTGGTTTAAGTTGGAAGATGAGCGTCCCTGGTCTCCTTATGGCGGCAGGTAGGGTGCCTGGAATACTGGGTTAGTTTCTCATCTGTCATTAGCCCCTGATCCTGGGAGTGTTTCCTTCTTCATGTACCATGTCCAGGTACCCCTCTTGGAGCCTCAGCTGAACTGACGGGCGGTTCTGGTCCCCGAGCTTCGGAAGTTTGTCCTTCCCTGGCCTAGAGGTCTGGGGGCGGGTCCGCCCCGGACTGGGCGGCAGGAGGAGGAGAGGCAGGCGGCAGGCAGATTCTAAGGGCCGCTTGCCTACTCTGGCTGCATTATTTTCCTGTGGCTGCGATGTTAGAGTGACTTTCCGTTGGTTTTACGAAATTACGAAAATGGTGTTTCTTCTGCTTGCAAAAACATACTAATGGTAGATATCTTGAAAATGTAGCCAGGTGCGGTGGCTCACGCCTGTAATCCTGGCACTCTGGGAAGCTGAGGCGGGAGCATCGCTTGAGATCAGGAGTTCTAGACCAGCCTGAACAAGAGAAGGACCCCCGTTTCTAGTAAAAATGCAAAAATTAGCCAGGCGTGGTGGCGCGCAACTGTAATCGCAGCTACTCGAGGTTGAGACAGGAGGATCGCTTGAGCCCAGGAGTTTGAGGTTACAGTGAGCTATGATCACGCCACTGCACTCCAGCCCGGGTGACAGAGCAAGACCCTTTCTCAAAAAATAAATAAATAAATGAGGAAATAGATAAATACATAAAAAAATTTTTTTCTTTTAATTTTTTTTGAATTTTACTTTAATTTTCAGTAAGTGAAAGAAACTGAAGACGAATTAAGATCAAGATGGGGTGCTCTAGAAAGCAAACATATAAAATTTAAAAACATTTTTAAAAAGTGCACATAAGAAAATAAAACTGCCCTTAAACCCACCACTTAGTTAAAACATTCCTTATAAACGTATGAAATTTAATTTTATTTGGTTTTACCAGATGAAATACTAGTGAATATAAATTTTAACAGGAAATACTAGTTACAAGAAGATCCTACTAAGGTTAAGAATATCAAAAACGTTGAGCAGTTGAAATCATTTCAACTACATGCTTCTTGGTGGGTTTAAAATACACTTTTCCAGGTAGTAAAACTTAGGACTGATTCATAAAGATCACGGGACATCTCTCGTGACTTAACAACAAAAGCCCTATTTTAAAAATACTGTATAGGCTGGGCACTGTGGCTCATGCCTGTAATCCTAGGATTTTGGGAGGCCCTGGCAGGAGGATCCTTCAGGGCAGGAGTTCGAGACCAGCCTGGGAAATCTCTACCATAACAAGACAAAACAAAAAACTATAGATATGTATAACTATGTATTTACACTTATATATATTATGTATATGTTATATGTATAGTGATGGTCAAGCCTGCAACTAACCCTGAAAGGAAGTAGGACATTCCAACTTACATTTAAAAAAAAATTTTTTAAGAGACAGCGTCTCGCTTTGTCACCCAGGCCGAAGTGCAGCTGCAGGTTCGTAGCTCACTATAGCCTTTCACTCCTGGGTTCAAGTGATCCTCCTGCTTCAGCCTCCCCAGTAGCTGAGACTATAGGCGTGTACTACCACGCCTGGCTAATTTTTTTATTTTTTGTAGAGACGAAGTCTCACTCTGTCGCCCAGGCTGGAGTGCAGTGGTGTGATCATAGCTCACTGCAACCTCAAATTCCTGGGCTCAAGCAATCCTCCCACCTCAGTCTCCCTAAGTGCTGGGATTATAGGTGTGCACCACTGTGACTGGCTCAACTTACATTTTGCTAAATTTTCCTTTCAGGGAGGTGGAGATGCTTTCCAATTCCTTTGGGGTCATTCCCATTCCAGGCTCTACGTAGTTCCTGCTGTCGGAAAAAATCCACTGCACCTAAGAACATTATTCCCAATGTTGCTTTTTGTGATGAAAATGCAAAGGAGTCTCAAAATGCACTTGACAAGCTCTTTTCTTCAGAACAGCAGGCTTCCATCTTGCATGTGTTGAATACGGCATCTAATAAAGAACTTGAAGCTTTCAAATTGCTTCGTGGAAGAAGGTCCACCAATATTGTAGAGCACAGAGAAAAGTTTGGGCCATTTCAGAATTTGGAGAGTTTAATGAATGTGCCCCTGTTCCAGTATAAAACTACAGTTCAAGTTTGTAACTCCATACTTTGTCCAGAGACTGGAGGGAAAAAAAAGTTACAGGAAAACCGGCACCTGGGAAAGCTCATCAAACCAGACATAGGAAGAGAAAGACTTAAGGTATATTCCTTTTCTTAGTGTCTGTTACACTGTCTAACATTCGAGACCCTACTCTGTAAAGCACTCTTCTGGGCATTGGGTTGAGAGTTAATGAGGTTCTTCAAGTTTAGCTGATGGATCTAAATATATATCTATAAATAGATAAGCTATTGTACGAAGTAGTTTGTGATCACTACCAGATAATGAGATGTACACTAAGTTGGTAGTTGAGAGGAGAAAAAACTGTGGGCTATGATTGTTGGGGAAGGTTACTGGAAAAACTCAATTTGGATCGTAAAGGAGAGAGAGAATTAAGCTGGCTGGAAGGGGAGGGCATTCTAGGTAGAAAGCCGATGTTGAGAAATAGGTCTGTGCAAAGTTTATTTAAGAGGAATCTTGCAGGGATACCCAGCTGTGTCTAAGGATTGTGTTTGCAGTAATGAGAAATTAGGGTACAAAGATGGGTTATGGCCAAAGAATGACTGTAGAACATTGTACCAGTCTTAACAGTAGTATTTAAAACTATTTTCTGTTCCCTCCTCGACTTTAAAAAATCATTCTAAAAGCAATTCTTTTTCAGTGTTATCTTAAAAAATAAATATTAAAATTAGTTGACACATAAGTCAAACATTAAACTCTGGAGGAATTTACATCCCATGTAACATTGCTTGATAAAATAGTCTCTTATCCCATAACAATAATAAGCATAATTTTTTTCCTGGACCAGTGGTTCCCTGTTTTTTGGGGAATATGGATATTTTAACACATTGACTGCCACACTAGAAAAAAATAATTTTTCCTTGGGGTCACAGTGTTTTATTATGAAAATAGAATAAAAACTTCAAAAACAAAATGATACTTTCTAATTTAATGAAAAATTTGTTATTTTTTTTTCTTTTATCATTTTTTGTGTGTGAGTTATATGCAACTTGAAAAATAGTTCTCACAGCTCCCAAGGTGAAGAGACATGTGAGTTACACATGCTTTATGAGGCCCCGGGCTCAAAACTAGCGGGAGTCAAATACAACTCACATGGCAGTTAATGTGGTAAAAACCTGGACTATGGACCCTCCTCCCAGAAAAAAAACTATAGCACATGTGCACAGAATACTACATATACTTTCAGAGGACTGGCATATCCCAGTAAGTCCATCCATGGACTCTAGATGGAACTGCTGTGGCGGTTGACCTGGAACGTATTTCAACCAAATTTTTCAAGGAGGCTTTTCATCCAAATTCATGGCTAAAACTACTGTTTATACTCAGATTATAGTGGAGTTGCAACTTATTTAGGGGACTAGGTTCTGAGTCAGTTTGCATAGGGAAAGTCATGCAGTAAAAATCCTTTAAAAAACATCTATTGCTCAGGAAATACTGTGTGCAGCCTGGTTCAGTGATGCTTATGCACACTAAAGCTTGAGTCATTAAGCTCTAAAAAGAGCTCTGTATTTTGTAGATGTCTGAGGCATCCCAACTTTTCTGCCTTTAAGATATTTATCCAGGCTGGGCGCCGTGGCTCACGCCTGTAATCCTAGCTCTCTGGGAGGCCGAGGTGGGTGGATCGCTCAAGGTCAGGAGTTCGAGACCAGCCTGAGCAAGAGCAAGACCCCGTCTCTACCAAAAATAGAAAGAAATTATCTGGACAACTAAAAATATATGTATAGAAAAAATTAGCCAGGCATGGTGGCACATGCCTGTAGTCCCACGTACTCGGGGGGCTGAGGCAGAAGGATCGCTTGAGCCCAGGAGTTTGAGGTTGCTGTGAGCTAGGCTGACGCCATGGCACTCTAGCCAGGGCAACAGAGCCAGACCCTGTCTCAAAAAAAGATATTTATCCAGTTCTTAGCAGTGAAAGGGAGATGGGTATAGAATTACAAATTGTTCCTGCTTATCTGTCTCTGTATCCATAGAACATATTAGTAGTTTATTTATCAATATAACTAAATGAGCCATGGCGGAGTGAGGTAACAGCATTGCACTGTATCCCCAGCCCACACTTGGCACAGAGCTAAGTCCATATATCCAATTATGTGTTACACATTTCCCCTTAGAAGCCCTATAGGCAACCCAAACGTAGTAACATTTAAAAAACAACTCATTTCCCCATACCTTCCTGAGTTGATGTGCCTCCTGTCTCCATCTTGAATGATGCCACCTAAGTCACTGGAGTAAAGCTGGAGTTATCCTATGCTCCTCTTGCAACCTGTGTATCATCACTTCAATTCCCACTATCTCTAATCTGTCTCTTCTCCTTCTGTCATTGTCCTTGATTCTTAGTACTTTGTCATGTTATATGATAGGTACCCAACACAAATCCCTACCTTTAGTCTAGTCCCCTTCGGTCCATCTTCTACATAGCTGTGATTTTTCTGAAATATAAATCTTACGCTGTTCCTGAAAATTCTGTGCCTTGGTGGCCCCCTGTAGTTCTCCGGATAAAACGAGTTAATTAACTTTACAGAAATCTGTCTGCCCTTCTGCCCTTTTCCCACTCAGTCTCTATTCCACCGGCAGAGTGTGAGATGTCAAACAGCCTATCTTTGCAGACAACCGGGCGAAATAACTTCCTGTTTACCATCCTACTCATTCTCCTAGGCCTCCAATAAGCCTTCCCTGACTGCTTCTTCTCTCTACGGTAACTGTTTTATGGTGGCATTTCTTATAATGTAGTTATGTTCCTTGTTTCCCAGTATCTAGCACAGACCATGGCTACACTTGAATATTTACTTTAGGCTAGGTGCTGAAAATAAGTTAAAGGTTCTTTGTCTGTAACTTGACTGCTGCTGGTTACTTTTTAATAATAATTACTCCTGCATTTTTTAACAATTTTCAGTTCATAAACTAAATAAATTTGTATTCCATAAGCAAGCTAGGCATTATGAGTTTGTAGATTAGGTTTCGTATCTGTTAAAATGTTTACACTTGGCTGGGCACAGTGGCTCACCCCTGTAATTCCAGCACTTTGGCAGGCTGAGGTGGGAGAATTGCTTGAGGCCAGGAGTTTTAGACCAGCCTGAGCAACATGTTGAAACCCCCACCTCTACAAAGAATAAAAAAAATTAGCCGGGTGTGGTGGTGCATGCCTATGGTCCCCAGTTACTCGGGAGGCTGAGGCAGGAGGTACACTTGAACCCAGGAGTTTGAGGTTGCAGTGAACTAGGATGATGCCACTGCACTCTAGTCCAGGTGACAGAGTAAGACCCTGTCTCAAAAAAAAAAAAAAAATTGTGTTTATACTTGTAATTAAACCAGCCTTTTCTTTTAGGCAGTTAATAGTATCGTATCTATTGTTTTTGGTACTCGAAGAATTGCCTGGGCTCACCTTGATCGTAAATTGGCAGTGTTGGACTGGCAGCAAAGTCCCTGTTGGAGATTATTGGACAGAACATACTCATCATCTGTCTATTTAGAAGAGGTAAGGCAGTTACACCTCCAAATTCCTACCTGCTAGAGCTCCTTGTATACTTTAATTTTCTAGTCCCAAAAGAAATGTCATAAAATAGTAAGAATGGATTTTCTTATTGGTGAGTACTTATGACTCACCCATTCCTATTGTTTTCCATCACCTTTGATTTTTAAAAATTGAATCTTTCTTCAGTGAGTTCAAGAAATGCCTTATGTATCAAAGGCAGATACTGACAAAATTAATGGTAAAGTATTTCTAAATGTTATAGAACATCTCTATCTTATATTTATAAAGCTTATTTTTTCAAATAAGCTCATTGTCTCATTTCAGCCTTCAAAACCTTGTGAAATGGGCAGAAACTATTATCTTGGTTATATATATGAAAACTGTGCTTCAGTCAAGCATCTGATGTTTAGTCAGTTGCAGAGGCGATTGATTCTTGGCTAGTTACTCTAACCCTATGCTCTACCGTAGAAATTGTTTAAAGGTTAATAAGATAGTTTTACCTTGTCTAATCTTAAAGGCAATGTAGACTTTAGAAATTATGAAGCCCATTTTTCAGATGAAGAAACTGGTACTTAGGGAGACTAAACAGCTTATCTTAACTTAGTTTGTTCCTGATAAAACTATGACCAGAACTTCGCTGTCCATAAAATGCTTCTTATTTCAAAATTGTCAATAGCAATATAAGTTACCTAATTATAATATTTTAAAGTAGAAGTGGAACAGAGAGGGGACCCAAACACAAAAATTAATGAATTATTTCTGCTTACTTATTTCGTCTTTTTTTTTTTTCTTTTTTAAGATTTCATCCATCATTTCAAAGTTGCCTAAAGCAGATTTCTATGTTCTGGAAAAAACAGGACTTCCCATTCAGAACTCATCTCTGTTTCCTATATTGTTACATTTTCATATCGTGGAAGCCATGCTGTATGCTTTATTAAATGAAACCTTTGCTCAGGATGGGCAGCATCAGGTGCTGAGCATGAATCGAAATGCAGTGGGGAAGCACTTTGAACTGATGATCGGTGACTCCCGGACTAGTGGAAAAGAACTAGTGAAGCGGTTCCTCTCTGAGTCTGTCCTGAAGGCAGATCCTCGGGTGGTCTTCCCAGCAGATAAAGTAGTCCACTACAGACAGATGTTTTCATCTACTGAACCACAAAGAATAGAAGAGTTATATGATTCATTATTACAAGCTATTGCCTTCTATGAATTAGCAGTTTTTGATGCTAAGCCTTAGAATTCTGAGGTTAATGTACCTGCCCTAATGTTATATTAACTTATATTTATTAGCTCCAAAGTTGTAAAACCAATATTTTGAACATCCATGTTAATGGAGAAGGAAACATATTTTGAGTGTATTTTTAATACACTCAAAGTTGTTTAAAAGTCTGACTTTCAGCTGTTGAATGGTTTACACAATAAGGATCTAATTCTAAATCAATAAATACAGTATTTTGAGATTCTGTGCCTTTCAGGTTTAAGTGTTAAACAATAAGATGCCCCCCAAGTAGCCAAAACAAGAAACTAAGTTATCTCTCCTTAAAAACAAATACCATCTATACTAAGGATTTGCATTATTATCCTGTTGTTAAAATAAGGAATAATGATTTTTCTATGTGGTACTCATGAAAGTAAAGCTAAAGACAAGTGATAATACAACTTGTAGAATCCTCTTCTCTTATTCTCTAGGTAGAATGTGGTTTGCTACACTGCCTCAAAAAGGCAATTTTCATCAGCTCCAATCTATTAACCCCAGAACAAACAAGATTTGTCTAATAGGCTCATTTTTTTAACTGAAATATTTTACTTGACACCATTGTTTGATAAAAGTAGCACTTAATTTTTTCCCCATACCTCTCCATTTTTTCATTATGTCTGCCTTAGTTCAGGCCCTTACTGTATCTCCTATACTGAACCCAAGTCTCTTTGATGTGAAAGTATAAAATCTTTTCTTTAATCTAGAATTGAAATATGCTTATTGGAAAAAAACTCAAATATCAGAAGTATATAATATAAAGGAAGAAGTGGAAGTCCTCCCATCATTGGCACCTCCAACTCCCTAGAGTTGGTATACACTCTAGACTTGCTGCCATGCACATACAGGTCTCTACATTTACACACACGGTTGTATACCTAAACATCTCCACCTTGGAAATGTCGAGAATATCAAACTATGCATGCCTAAAAAGGAAATCATTCTCTTTCCCTCCAAACCACATCCATTGGCATTGTTTTCTACTTTGGTAAACGGCTTTCTCAACCACCCAGTTGTTCATACCAGAAACATGGCATTCTGCCTCCCACATATTTCTGGAAATAGCTGTAAGTGAAAATGTGTCACTTTTAGACATTTATAGGATAAAATGGAAAGTATTGAAAAGTCATCAAAATTTGGTTACTTTTATCACAATAGTGAATTTGAATCTTATAGGAATTTATCATTTTTTAAGAATGATAAAGATTTTTTCCCCCAAATTATACTAAATCTAAAAAAAAAGATATATGTCCCTATTAGGGAGGAAAATACTCCCATTATTTCTTAATTTTTGATGACTTGAATATAATTATATGGAGTTATTTTACTTTGGTTCACCAATTGTTGAGAATTACCAGAATTTTCTAATAATAAAACACCACATTAACAGGTAAGTAATCTACAGGAGGAACTCTGCAGAAAAAAAAAAAATAGATCAATATACTTTAAAAATTCTATAAGATATAGCCTATATCCAAACCTACACAGTACACATATTTACCAAGATGATTACATCTGAACTCTTATTTAAATACTACAAAGCCTTTAGCTTTAATCTTTAATTAGATCTATATACTAATCAACACAAGAAAAGGTAAGTTGAACAAATAAGAGGTAAAAACATATATTTTCGTACACATTTGTAAACAGGTATGCATCTATACTTTTCAAAACTGTACAATATTAGGATCCTTTTGAGTTAAAAATAATTCACCATATAATGTATGAATATTAAGCCAACATAAAATACAAACACTGGAAATAGGGAGCTACTTTAAAACACACCTGATTATCTGATTGCAAAATGATTTTACGTGAAATGTGACATTTTAAAATCTTGTTATTAAAAATACTTTTTTCCAAAAACATGACATTAAGTGGAAATGGCTATTATGTAGAAATCCTACAGCAGAATCCCCTTTTGTTACAGTTTTAATGAATAGCAGTTTGTCCAAAATAGATAATAATGTTGTTAATATCTTTATGAAGTAAAACATCAGTGATATAAAAATACAAGAAAAATGTACAAGACAAATGATTTGAGTTGGCAAAATATAAAAGATACCACATATATGGGTGCTAAAAAATGTTTATGAAAAGTATAATTCATAATCTTGATTTTGTCAACATTCAATGGTTCAATGATAAAATATCCTGTTGGAGTATACTAGGAATAAATTTATCAGGAAGATCTTACTGTTTGAAAAATGAAGCATAATTTTCTTCCTAGGAAGTTTTCTTATGTATTACTTATGTATTTTATATTTTGTATTATGTAAACTTTTTTAAAAAGATTACCATTAGGTGATTCACACTTAAGACTTGACAAAGCACTGATAATTGGTTGGAGAAGGGTGGATTAAGGGTAACAGGAAAGGGAGAAATTATAGATTAATTTAGCACTGAAACATCTTTAGAAATATCTTAGTGAGCTCTTCCTTCCAGAAACAGCTCATTCACATACAAAAATTCTAAGAAAGCTAAGTTGCATAATATAAAAAATTCAGAAAAAAAAAAAAATACTACCACAATCATATATACAATTTGTAACTCAAATTTTTTTGTCTTAAATATTTGCACACCAATAAAAAATATACAAATTTTGTTTTAAATGTACATTAAGAGAAATAAACTTTTCCATGAAAATCAACATAATATAAATGCATCTTAAGGACAATAATCTGTACAAGGCATCGTTGCAGAATATTAAGGGAAGTCAGCTGCCAAAGTATTCACAGTCTGTTTCGGGATGTCAAGATGAATCCCTTCAAAGTAGTGTAGGAACCTGTCAAAATTACAAAGAAAAATACAACTTAATATATTCATCTGATGAAAATATTTATTAATCCTGAAATAGGCATTTAAAATGTTATTTTTATAGGGCCTTTACCTTCTTTTACTTTTTCCTTGTTCTTTTAGTTTCTCAGATCTACAAATGTTTCGAAGAGTTGGCAAGTATTCAATAATACTAGCTTGTCTGTTACCCAGGTTCAGAAGAGATCGACTAGAAAATACACTTTTAATGACTGCTATCCTCTTCCAAGCATGACTGTAAATTAAAATTAATACATTACTTTTTAACACCCAATAAAAATGCAAAAAATCTCAAACACAACCACTTTCCTTGCCTCTGGTCTAGACTATGACACTTTCAGATTAATTTCCTGTGAACACATCAATTACTCCCATACTGAAAAATCTTAATGGCTATCTGCTGTGACACAAGTCCAAATCTCTTTCCCTGTCATTCAAGAGTTTCCCAAATCTAATCCATCCTAATCTCTCATTATCTCTCTTCCCAGCAAGCTGGTCTCCTTAACTGTCTGAATAGAAGCTACATTATTAAGGGCTTACCATGATTCCAACATTTTAAAGTTTAAAGACAAAACTCTAATGATTTCCTGTTTATCATTTATTACTGAAAAGGAAAAAGTAAAGGCAAGTAAGACTTACTCTAAATTAGCTGCTGTCTGATTAAAGTATACATTATTGTGCTTTTGTGAAACATAAAAAGTAAGATCGTTGGTTGGATCTCTTCCTAATTTCTTGCAAGAGCTCAAGGTTTCCAATGCTTTTGAAATAGTAGAAGAACATTTAGTGAAGCTGAGAGCTTCTGCAGCTGCCTTTAATTCTCCAGAGCTTTGAGAAGTCCATCCATCATTACTTTCAAGACTAAACTCATCACAAAGTCCACTTTTAACCTTTCCATTTGTCCAGCTAAAGTCATTTTTACCAAATTCCTTTTGTTCCTTTACGCCAGTTAAAAGGGCATCTAAGAAGGACATGTTATCCATGAACTCAGTGAGAGAATTTAAACAATGAGCAACAAGGGCAGAACGTTTTTTTTCTGCTGATGTTTTAGGAGAATGAGAAATAGATTCAATGTTGGACTCTAAACATTTGTTTTGTTTCCTTGTCTCTGGATTGCATTCTTTGTCTCTGGCTTTGCTTTCTTCTGAATTTGAGGAAGAAGACACAGGGGATTGGCTAACAAATTCATCAGGAAAGACCAATTCAGTGTCAAATAAGTCACTATCATCTAATACTACCATCTTTTTCTTTTTTTTCTTCTTTTTTGACTTTTTCAATGGCTGCTCTCCAGAATGTTTCCTAGCAAGACATTTCATACTTTTTGTTGCTGCACTGGTATCCACAGTTACTGATGAGCCACAAAGACTTTTCGTTTCTGGAATAATATCAACTGGTAATGGTAGAATGAGTTCAAGATTACTGTATAAAAAATCTACATTCTGCATTTGGAATTCTGTAAGAAGCTGGATGAGTTTATGCCATTCTTCCTTTGTTGTGATTTTGTGCTGAAAAACAATTTTGAGTAAATGTTACAACAGTACACAGTTTGAACATTTTTTTACCCATATGAATATAGTGATTTTCCTATTCTGTCTTTAAATACTGAGTCACTACCCCTCAATTTTTTTCTTTTTTTTATTTCAGCATATTATGGGGGTACAGATGTTTAGGTTACGTATGTTGCCCTTGCCCCCCTCCCCCCTACTACCCCTCAATTTTATTAACCTGCACTTAATACATGAAAGCAGTACTATGAGTCTAAAAACAGTACTATGAGTACTATGAGTCTAAAAATTACATTTGGACTGTGAATTTGGAGAATGAAATTCTCTAATATTTAGTATATACTACAATTACAATTAGAAGCTCATTTATTTAAAAACTACTTCTCTGAAATTGTCTATCTGAAAAATTTTCTAAACTCTATTTTAAATCCTATAATATGCATTTAGAGCAATGCCTATGCACCATTTGTCAAAGTGATAGTATGTGTTAAATTCAGAGATCCAAAGTCTGTTAAAGCTACAGGCAAATGTAAGTTAAATTTAAGATTCAAAAGACAAGAGTTAGTGTTGGGAAGATGAAAATGAATATAAATTCAGTATTCCGAAATAGACATTGAAAATACCTTTAAAAATGAAAATAAGTCTTCAGAAGGGGAAAAAATATTCTTAAGGCCAAACAAGGTCTCAACACACCCAGTGTCACATTTGGGAACATCTGCACGATTCCTTTTAGTATTTTTAGGGTTATTTTTGGAATCAGGGCCATCTTCAGAGGAAACTAGTTGTACATTTCTGCTATTTCCTCCTACAAAATTAATAAAAGAAAACTTTAGC